AATGACAGTTCTGAGCAAGTGTGTGTGAAACATCTCAATACATGTAAAACTTGTACCTGATAAAATTTGCTTCGATTTGTTGAAGAGTCCACTCAGGGGGTGCCAGGGATGCACACTGGACTGTCACCAACGAAGAGGCCAGTGTGTCATCTGTGATATCGATGGGGACGATCATCGACGTACTTGCACAACATGTCAATTGCGTGATGGGAAGAGGCTCAACCCAAGAACCTCCTTGTTGTCGTTTTTGCATTTTGCCATGTTCTGAACCTGATTTGTCAACATTTTAATTCTGGATGGCGCAACTTAAGACTGTGGTGCAATTATCCTGGCTGTGGCGATGGTTGCTACGACATTATTCGCCGTCTTCTTGGAACTTCAAAGGGAAGGGTCAGCTCCCAATACTCAAGACTGTGGTGAACTTATTCTGGCTATACTGATGATTGTTACGACAATTTGTGGCGTTTATTTGGCACTTGAAAGGGAAGGGCCAGCTCCCAGTTTCAATTCCTTCCTTCCTCTTTGATCAGGATTTAATGGAGTGTTTTCTGCACGCCCGATGCGTTCCACATCACAAGTCGGTAAGACAAATTTGTGCAAGTGTGTGACTCATGTCGGATTCGACAGGATGACATGAGCCCTTCGGGGAATACCTCTCTAGGTAGGAAACGGGAACCTCGATCTGACTCTGAATTTGCAATTTTCAACCTGGTAATTCGTCTAAGTAAAGTGGAGCAGTTGGCCTTTTCCATCTTCTCACCCATCGGTCGCGTGACTGTTGAACAACTGGCTGCTGTACTTGGCCTCACCTTTCTTTTCGACGCTGAAGCTGTGCTGATAGCCGTGAAACCTTCCTTCTTTCAGCTTTGCCCAAGAGAGTACGGTGCTTGATAATGCATCACATTGGAAGGTATCAGGTCATGAGTCATACTTGCAGGTGTGGTACTTCTTTCTCTTTATGGTCTCTGGTAAGGTTCAACTGTGCACTTAATTCAGTTGGAGACTACTGACAGCCGTCCATGGGGTTGAAATGAATGCCGAGGGCCTTGAGCCTTATCACGACTCTTGCATGCGCATGTGGATGCATCATTTTCATCAACTAGTTCCCCATTGGTCCCCTTTCTCATGCGTGCTCCCTCTCTAGGTCAGGTGCCGAGGTAGGTTTGGCTCTGGTCGGTGTTTGGCCTGTCGTCCGTCCGCTTTTTCTCTTCCCTCGCCCTTTCAGGGTTTGCCCGCTCCGGGCTAGGTGTGTTGGTGTTGGTGTTTTCCTTTTTTCCTTTCCTCTTTTGCGTTCCCCTGTCTCATGTTCCGGGTAAATAGTTTGTAATTTCATTTTCATCGTCATCTCATTTCCATTTCCCATCATTTCCCTTTCATCTTCACCTTCATCTCATTTGTCGGAGCCTTAAAAGATCTTAAACGCCCCGCTGCTGCGGGGCGTGTGCGTGATACATCTCAATACATGTAAAACTTGTACCTGATAAATTTTGCTTCGAATTTGAACAGTTCACCAATTTTCATGCAGCAGGTGCCAGGGATGCACACTGGACTGTCACCAACGAAGAGGCCAGTGTGTCATCTGTGATATCGATGGGGACGATCATCGACGTACTTGCACAACATGTCAATTGCGTGATGGGAAGAGGCTCAACCCAAGAACCTCCTTGTTGTCGTTTTTGCATTTTGCCATGTTCTGAACCTGATTTGTCAACATTTGGATGATGAACAGCTTCTAATTTTGGATGGCGCAACTTAAGAGAGACTGTGGTGCAATTATCCTGACTATGGCGATGGGCTGCTACGACAACTTAGTTAGCGTTTTTTTTTTGGAACTTCAATGGGAGGGTCAGCTCCCAATACTCAAGACTGTGGTGAACTTATTCTGGCCATGCTGATGATTGATACGACAATTTGTGGCGTTTATTTGGAACTTGAAAGGGAAGGGTCAGCTCCGTGTGTGTGCGCTTATGCGCGGACGCACTAGTTTTAGTTTCTCCAAATATGTGCAAGTACAGCTTGGCATAGAGCCAAAAAATGTTTTAAGATGACATGATCATGACATGACACATATCGGGACGCATGTCCGACATATGTTTTGGGACACCTTTCAAATAAACCCGACATTTATCTTCACTTTTTGTTTAACATATCGTCAACAGTTGCATATGCAAATGCATCATGTGGCGTATATACCGGTGGAGTCGAACATATATTGTGTGTACTCACCTCATCCAACACATATCCGCCACACAATGATATGATTGGATATATTTGGGATGAGGCCCAGGAGATCCCAGGAGACATGGGAGTCTTGTGGAAATGGATGGTGTGGTGAGGTCCTGGGCCCTCGCAGGGTTGGGAGTGGTTGTTTGGCAGCGGCAAGAGGAGGAAGGAACAGAAATAGAAACACAGGAAGGACACGTCGTGATTAAAATGACCAACATTTACTGCAAAAACAATGAAAAAATGTGTCGAAACCTTATCGGCCTGGAATCCAAATATTGCAAGAGATGCTTGTATGATTTTCCGTCGCGTTTTTAAACCAGAAAACTACAATCTATGGCAATGATGGTTGGCAACAAGGATTTGCCGAATGCAGAAATTTACCTTGTATTATCACAATGTTTTACTTTATTTTGTTGACCGTGTATACTGTATATTCAGATTCGCAATTTTTGCGCGGAAACGCCCATTCAAAGAATCACACCTTCCAAAACAACGATTACCCGCGTTTTGCATTGTGTGTCAAACTATCAAGGTTTTTTAAACCATTGTTTAGTGGTGGATTGATGATATTTTCAAAGGGAAACCAAATCGTTTTTGTGCGTCTTACGACTTGACATATTTTTATTTCTGACATGAGTACCTGATCCAACACACATTATATACTACTTTCATCTACTTTCCTCATTGTGGAAGACACGACCTCAGGGGTTTCCAATGCCAATGAACATGTATAAAAAATCACAATTTCCCACGTGGGCGGGTATGCATCTACGCAAAATGGTAGAATCAGGTTACGCAGAATATGTATTTACGCAGTATTTGGTTTGGCTGGGGTTGCGAATCCATTTGACGTCGAATAGGCATTGAAGGCTATCGTTTTGTCGTTCCTTTGAATGTTGTGACATCAGGGTTCCTTTTGGTCTCCTAACGGATGCACGCTCAACTTGCCGTCTCAGTCAGAACTCAAGAATGTTCGGAGTAGATTGTTTTTTAGTCACACACTTTTTAAAAACGTTGCGTTGCCGGACAACAAACACTTCAAGCGCTGCATGGACAATTTGATGCGGAAATAATTACTTCGTGGACCTGCGTTGGCCGGCATTCAGTGGCTCGAACTGTGGTTTGATCGCAGCCTGACAGCCTGTAAATGAAACAACCAAATTGATGCAGTTGAAACATATAAATCAGAAATACAAACCGTGAGCAATGTCTCCATCTCATTGTCTCAGGCCACAGTAGCGAGATTCCTATAGCACTACATTCAGCCCCAGTGACTTCAACCGAACATGTTAAACGTACCACACCAAATCTTGTCAGGAAAGCATTCGTCGCCACTAAGATTGCCAGAGATGAAACCATGTATCCAGCAGCCTGCAATGCTCTTGCGGAGACTACTTGGCCCAGCTCACCGTGCAGCGTGTGAAGGAGCAGGTAGACGAACGTTCTCGGGGCTATCTTCCAAGGCACCTTCCTCGCAACAATTCCGTGCCCATGCTCTCCAGAATGCTGTTCCGATGGTCGGCTTTGGTGTCGTGGATTGCGTTGTGATGACACAGGTTGGATCAACTATGGATGCAGTTCTGGGTGCTACCCTGGGAATCTCTTCAATCACAGCAGCTGCAATCGGTTTGTTCTGCAGTGACTCTTGCGGTGTTCTGTTTGGCGGGACGATTGAATCCTTTGCAGGGAAGCTTGGCCTGCCAGCCGCACATTTGACAGTTGAGCAGCTGGAGTTGCCAGAAACGAAACGGGCAGCGACCTTTGGCCGATTGTTTGGTGTCCAATTCGGAGTCATTCTTGGTAGTACAACTTTGTTGCTGCAAAGCCCGAAGAAGTTGGAGGACGAGGGCCAGAAAGGAAAAAAACCACAGGCAGAAGAAGAGCTTCACCAAGAATTGGCAGGGGCATCTGAAGGATTTGAGGCTTTGACGTCTTCCGGAGTGGTATTGTTCACACATCCAGGATGCCCCTTTTCCCAGGCTGCAGTTGACAAGCTGTTGGAACGTGGTGTGAGTTTCAAGGTTGCATGCTTTGACCAGTTCAGTACGCAACTGAAGAGCGCAGGATCAACAGTTTCACCATCGGTTTGGATTTCTGGCAGGTACGTCGGCAACCAAGTGCCAGACAGCAGTTTTTCAAAGCCTTAATGGAAACCAAAGTTCAACAGGTTCTCCACAGGCCATAGGCCGCAGGCAATTCTTGCCTTCCACCCCAAGTCTCACAGTAAACTCTTGTTTCACAGTGAACTGAACATTGAATAGACACTGTGGTGACTAAGTAGGGTGTGCAAATTGATAGAGCATTTTGGAAACAAGACTTCACAAAGGGGCCCAAGGGGTTGCAGCAATCAGGCACGAAGGACATGAAACATCAGCCACCACCATCTGACCCTCGCATTCGTCGAACTTCATAATCACGTTTAGCCCCAGCATCATTTAACAGGCCAAAGGCCTCAACAGGAAAGAATATGCAGGAAAAGAGAAGCTTAAAAGAACATGCATGCAGTCCCACATGTTTCAGCATTTGTGTCTCGTTGCGTTCCTAGTTGATGAAGTTGGTTGTGCCATGGTCACAGTCGTTTCTTTGGGGCAATCTTTCACATAGACATGCTTGTTGACTGCTGATGCCCGTTTCCGCTACTGATGCTATGGTCGTGGGACGTGTTGTTACTTGCTCCTACCACCCTTCTAGATGCCCGCACCAACGGTCCTCCACAAATGCGCCATCATGCGCCATCATAGCTGGATCATTCCATGACCTTGGCTCAAATGACCAGCCGTGCAGCATCGCCACAAGCAGCAATTCAGTAGTAGCACGGTGCGTTCATCACCATGTCCGCTGCACGATGGGGCAAGAAGTGGGCAGACCTCGATGATGAGGAGGAGACGATGATGCAAAGCGCAGAACAAGGGCGGTTTGAGACTCAAGCTGACAAAGATGGAGTGAAGACCTCTGTGGAGTATGTTGAGAAGGCTGGAGTCACCTACCGAGTGACCAAGAAGATGAAGGAGACAGTCACAACTAAGTGGACAAACCGATTAATGCAAAACAGAAAGAATCTACACAAGTTCGGCAAGGCTTCCACAAATCCGGAGGCAGATGAGAAGCTTTTGTGCATGAAGAGTGTAGAGGAGATCCATGTCGAATCTGCGAAAAAGATCCATGTGGATTTGTCGCAGAAAGATGATGCAGAGGAGAAATTCTTCGAGGAAAGCCTGACAATCACAGAGAGTCTCCTCAAAGAGAAGAAGGTGTGGACAGACCTCAACAAAGAGTCCAAGGAAGTTGGCATTGGCGAAGATGACAAGAAGGAAACGACAGAGGCAGCAGCCCCTGCAACAGGCGCGCCTGGCAAATATGTTCCGCCAAGCCTGCGTGGAGCTACTGATGGAAAGGGCAAAGGCAAGGGCAAGGGAGGTGACTATCAAGGCCAGCAAGATGCGACGCTCAGAGTCTTCAACTTGTCCGATGACGTCAAGGAAGGCGATTTGCAGGACCTGTTTGGACAGTGTGGCCGGCTTCAGCGTGTCTTCCTTGCAAAGGACATGAACACCTTCCAGTCCAAGGGCTTTGCTTTCATCACCTACTACAGCCGAGAAGATGCACAGAGAGCCATTGACCGTCTCAATGGACATGGCTACGACAATCTCATCATGAAGGTGGAATGGGCCAAACCCAGGAACTGAGTGCAGTGAACCCTGAGTCATCCTGAGTCGGATTTGTGCATATAAGACCAGCAGAATGGCTTGGAACTAACATCAAGTGCCAGAAATTTAACACGCCCAGACACACAAATACACGTAACTGTAGGGACGGCAAGGAATTTAATTTCACGTGCAACACATGCTGGGTAATGTACCTTCAATGCCACGTGCATGCAGGCAATAGCATGTCTATAGTCTATATATAGATGTATGATATGTACGTATGCATCATTTGCGTATGCAGCTATCCATACACCGTACGTGAGACCTGTATGCACTGTATGCATTTACACCATTTCAATCTATTTTATACTTGCAGATGCTTGCAGATGAGCAACAAAATTGCACATGCTGGCAGCGCTGTATCACAATTCCATGGCCATGAGGTGCCGGCACTGCTTTTAGCAAAGCAGGTCGGTGAGGCGAGAACATGCTGGCTTACGCCCCGTACAGTCTCACGCAGGATTTTGACACCGGGCCATTGTGTCTGCAAAGAGTCCGCAGTCCGCAACAACAGACCAGCACAACAACAATTCAACTGACCACATCTGACCATAATTTCGGCATATGTTTGCCATGATCGTATCCAAAGCGGATGCTTGGAATCAGGTAGAATCAGGTCATGTGCAGTCTTGTGCAGTCAGCTGGTGGTTTTGAACGCTGATGTACTGCTTCGTATCACACCGCATCCCGCAGCCATGAAGTGTCAAAATTAGGAGATGCCAGCCCCGGGCAAAGGAAGTAAGTCCAAAAGCAAGGGCAAGAGCAAAGGATCCGATGGGAGCACAGCTGCCAATGCAGCATATAGTGGTCAAGTCAAACGTCGAGTAGAATCCTCTGCCTGCAAGTTTTTTGGAAGTGCTAAGGGCTGCAGCAATAACAGTTGCCCTTTTCAGCATGACGACCCAAATTCCATTCCTTTCTGCACATTCCAACAGCGCGGGCAGTGTGAGAAGGGGGCGGCTTGCACTTTCCGACATCAAACCTGGTCCAGCATAGAGGAAGCCAAAATGTCTTATGCAGCCAGGGACGTTGGAATTGTTGAGCGAAGCTCCATTCGGTACAAGCAAGTTCGTCGTGAGATCGGAAGGGATGGTACTCAGGCCGCCCAGGCCACAGAGTCGCGACTAGGTTCCGAGCACTTGGAGCAGGGCGAGATCGGTGTTGAGAAAGACTTTCAGGAAGAGACCTACGGGTCAAATGCAATGCGCATGATGGAGAAGATGGGATACAAGGCAGGAATGGGCCTGGGGAAGGAAAATCAAGGTCGGACATCCCTTTTGGGATCCTGTGTGGCCTTGGAGCACTCACAAGGAACGTCGAATTTGGGCTTGTCTCACTATGCTGGGGCTGGGAGAGCTACAGCTGCAGAGCGAGCTGCGAGATTGGCTGATGCTCGGGCAAAGAAGTGCCAAAGAGTCGACGAAGGAAGCTTCGTTCATCACAATTTGCTCAGCAGCGATGAGAGCAGCGAAGGAGAAGACGAAATGGTCAAATCTCGAAATGTACAGCTTCTCTGAGGAATGAAAAGATGTCGCCGCTGATGCTTTGTGGACGCATTATATAACTTACATAGAATCTTGCCCCTTTGAAGCGATCGAATCACTCGCGTTTGAATCATTTGGCATGCTGGGTCATCATTTAGGTGCCGCTGCTGTGGCTTCTTTACACCTGTTTGTCAGCCACTCCAGTGCAGAGTGGATTGTCAGAAAGAATTTGAGCTGACTTCGTGTCGTCCACCTTCCTGACAGTTTATGGTCATGTTTGAAATCAGAGGGGAAGATCATGGAAGATCAACAACTGTGCTATCGATCAGTGTTGATCAAATAATGATCAATTATAAGGTATTCAGATTTGTACCGTTGGACCGTTTGCAAACGCGAGAAACCTTCCAGCAAAGATCACTTACATCAAATGGAGCTATACAAACAAATTGATACTGTATCTGTGAGTAGTGTCGCAACAACAATATCCAAATAATATCCACATTATTATCATTATATTATCATTATTTCAAGCTCCGCAGTCTCAACAGACAGATTTTTTAGATTTCTTTTCTGTTTCAATCTGCTCAATGCTATGTAGCCATGGGTGTCAGGCTCAGTGTGAAGCTGGCAAGACCTCGCCATGTTGGGAGGTTGTGCGTGTGAAATGATGCACCCTGATATACTGCATCGTTCCCTCAGGTCCAGCATGTGGAAAGTCTCATCTGCCAGAAGAAGGCGTTAAGCAAAAGAAGACGGCAGAAGGCAAGTTACCCCACAAGCACATGAAAGAGCTAGTAGCAGCTAGTGCATAGACTGCATAGACTGTCCACTGTACCTTGCTTCTGTTCCTTCGTTGCAAGGAGATGATGATTGGAAAGCCCTGCTGACATCGGGTGCAACAAATGACGCTCCACAAGCGCAGAATCAAGCAGAAAAGCGTGACACCGACGCCTTTCAAGCTCTGCCACCCCCGAGATCGAAGCCGCTGACAGAGCCTGAGGCACCTGAGGCACCTGAGCCTTACGGCCTCATTGACGAATATGTTGATGACTTGTTGGGAATTCCGCCAGAAGAACGGCCATCGTGGCAGCGGCCATCGTGGCATCAAACTGGTTCCTCCATGGATGTGCCAGAGATGGTGCTTCAGGATGGATCCCGCGCACCGGCCCTTCCTGCATCAGAAAACCGAGCCTCTCAGACGCCAACGCATCTAGTTTGCAGTCAAAGGAATTCAGAAATGCCTTTCCTCTTCTTCTTCTTCTTTTTTCTTCTTCTGGTTTCTTCTCATTTCATCTAAATTCTTTTCCTATGAGTTTATACGAGTTTGTTTTCTTTTCGCGGTTTTTGATTTTCGTGTATTGAGACAGATGGGGGCCCTATTCAATTTGTTGCTTGTGGCGACGCCTCCAAATGTTAATATGTTTCAGTCATGTTTCAGCCTGCCGTCATCAGCTTCCAAGGCCATACTTAGAGGGAGTTCTCAATGGTTGGGCGGCCATCGACAGACCAGTTGAGTCCGAAGTGCGAGATGAGCCAGCTCCAAAGCGACGCGCGGATAGGCCATCCTGAAGGGTAGGACATGGACCAGGCACAGTTTCAATCCTGAAGCCAAACGGCTTTGCTGCTCTACCTTGCAATGAAGAAAATGATTCTGAATCTGCATGGGCTTGAGCAGCATGCTATCGATACTGGCAACAGCCCGGGCATAGATATCTGATGTTATGTGCAGTGGCAGTTAGTACGGCTTACTATGATAGAGACTCAACAAAAAGATGGAAAATGCGAAGTTTCAGGTTCACAGACGATTCACAGATCGTAGCCAATTTCTTGGTGCCCTGTCATTTCTGCCCTTCAATTTGTGCCAGCACGAGCTAGAAACATCTAGAAACATCAATGCAATTCAGCAGCACAATGATTTTCAGTGCGCTTTTGAAATGCACAAACACATGCAACTGAGACAAACACCACATAAACCTGAGCTTTGGACAACAGGCCGCGGAAACCTGGGAATGCTCAGGGCTACCTAGAGACTCAGCAGATATAGGCGATATATGGCGATATAGGAAAAGCATTTGTGGACTCGTTGACATCCTCAAAGTTCAACCTCCCCATGGCAGAGGATGAGCTTAGCCCAGTGTAAGCACCTCAATGGGATCACATGGGATCACTAATCGTTCGTTTGATTTTGCAGAAATTGAAAGGAAAAAGATGGAAAAAGCACTTCCTGTAGTTCTTCCTTGTAGCCGAGGGCTGAGCCGGCTGAGCCCCTTTCCAAGTCTGATGAAGCAGAGGAAGCGGTAGTGGTGGAGGCAACAAATCCAAATTTAGCCAATTGAGTTGTGGGACACGCATGTGGGATTTGTTTTGACATGTTCTGACATGACTTTGGGGAAATGCAGAATGCTTGAGCAGGTGAAGCGGTACAGATCACCTGCAGATCCACAGCATTTGCAAGTCTTGGCCAGACGGTATCCGGACTGTATCCTTGTTGCATTGGACAAATAGGGAGTTCAAGAACTGCTTGACTTGTTCCCACATGTTATTGTCATTTCCCATCTGAGATAGCTTGGAGATGGCATTCGGTTGTCGTTTGCAAGCTGCGATATTGCGCCATCTCGGCTTGTGCTCCGGCATGTTGTGTTCAGACTGCTGTTGTTTTTGGCCAAAATTGCCAAGGCTTTAAAATCAGTGCGGCAGAAGACAGAGCCATTTCTGGCACACAGCTTTTCGAAGTGCTGTTGGGACCTTACTTTGATGGCATTGTCATGCATTGCCCATGTTCATGTTCCGACTTTCCCTTTACATCTTTGCCTTCGGTGAAATCGGGCAGGGGCTGCGGACTTGCAGGAACTATGCACTAGCTGAGTGCACAACCTGGCAAGATGCGGATGGGCCAACACTCGCAATAGCTAGCCTCAACCACTACGATGTCGTGAAGTGGGTGGTGAAACCTTCTTCAGACAAAAGGCAATGCTCCTTCGTTGAGCTCGTGGCGAGACACGCCCAACCTTCTGAATTCTATGTGACACACTACTTTGGTCAACCTGTGCGGGACATGTTGGAATGTGTTCAGCTTCAGTTGCGAACTCGACAGTTGGGGGAGGACACTTTGTTTTGGATTTGGGCCTATGCTCATCAACCAGATGAGAGCTTCGTCCCTGATGTTTTGCACGCTTCTGATGCTTTCCAGGTAGCAGGCTTAGATTTGTAGCTGCAGAAAAAGTTAGATGGATCGACCTTCTCTTGAGCTTTGATTGTTTTAAGATGTCTGGTCCATCTGGGGATTTCTGATTGAGAAAAAGCACTGCTTAGGCATTAAAAAAATCGAGCGGAATTCTGCTCCCATTGGGTGCCACTTCTGTACCGTTCAGTCGGACGTGGTGCCTTTGCCAGAATTGCGTCTACCAAGGTTTGAGAATAGATTTGCATGATCCCGTTTTCAAGACTATTCAGGAACATGTTGCTGCTCAGTATGTTTCTCAGCATTTCGAAGCAACCAGTGAGCATTATGTGGATCACAATTCAGCCAATTTTCCTTTGGGCAAAGAGCTTTTATATACATGAATTCTGTTGGGACTCCTGTAAGGACCTCCTGTAAGGCTGTAAGGACCTCCTGTAAGGACTCCAGTTGGGTTTGTTAGGTTTGTGTCCCAATCTCGGGCACCATTTTCAAACCCATTTGTGCCACAACTTGCCTAGGTGCTTGCTGGAAGTCATGCTGGGTGTACTGGAGCTTCAGATCCCCCTGGACATTGCAGTTTGGATCATTTTGGATAAATGTTGGCAAATACTGTAATAGATAAAATATGGTAAAATATGGTAAAAGTAACATCACACCACCGAAAAGAACGGATATCATTTGATGTCATTCCAGACTTCCATCTACCAGGAGTTGTGGAACCATGGGTTTGTTTTTTGCAAACCTTGACCTCGTGGGTGCTGGCGGTGCTACTAGAACATGCCAGCACATTATGTAATTAAATATTTTGTAAAACCATATTTATTTCGTAGATGAGAGAGAGAATGAGAGAGATATTGGTTTCGAAATATTTTAATTTTGCATTTTGATTTCGCTACTCACGGCATTCCATTTCAGACCCTACAGATGGCCCCTCCCCAGAATCCCTCGGGGAAGAGGCAAGAAATGGCACTCGTCCTCGACCCACGTGGTTCATTTAATGTCATTTCTATATGTATATCATATGTATATCTTATGTCTGTATTTGTATGATTTGTATGATTTGTATGATTTGTATGCGAGTAATTTCTCTAAGCTTCTTCCCTTTGATCAAACTGCAGTGAGCCTTTCTGTGCCTATGTATATATCCTCAACGTGCTTGATTGGTTGGAGAGGTTGAAGCCTTTCTTCAGCCCAAAAAGGCAATAGCAGTCGGAGGAAACTTCATCATCCAACTCATTTTGACTGCCCAATGTAAGCCAAATTTCCGCAATATGTGTGCTTCCTTGACGTCTGCAAGTTGTGTTTCATCCTCGTTGTCGTTCGTCAAGGGTCACTGTTCACTTATTATTGAATTGTTGCCTCTTCATCTCTTCATCTTTATTTTTGCTTTGTGTGTGTGTGTTTTTTCTTTTTTTTTTAATGTTATTTCATGTTATTATTATATACTGTAATTATATATAGAATGTTTATGTTATTTGATGTTATTTTGCATTCTTCTTGTCTTCTTCATCACCATCAAAATAAAGTCATCATCATCATCATCATCATCATCACCATCACCATCATCATCACCATCACCATCACCATCACCATCACCATCACCACCATCACCACCATCATCACCATTATCACCATCACCATCATCACCATCACCATCACCATCACCATCACCATCACCATCACCATCACCATCACCATCACCATCACCATCATCATCATCATCATCATCATCCTCATCATCATCATCATCATCATCATCCTCATCGTCATCATCACCATCACCATCACCATCACCATCACCATCACCATCACCATCACCATCACCATCACCATCACCATCACCACCATCATCACCATTATCACCACCACCATCATCACCATCATCACCATCACCATCACCATCACCATCACCATCATCATCATCATCATCATCATCATCATCATCATCCTCATCGTCATCATCACCATCACCATCAACATCAGCATCAGCATCACCATCAGCACTCCCGTCACCATTACCATAATCACAATAATGAATACTATACCCCCCTAAAAGTAGATGGCTCAACTCAAAAACCAAAATACCCATAAGATGGCACCGCGGGGTGAGAAAGAATATGGCGCTATTTTAGCTGGAACATAAAACGAGGTCCGCCAATTGAAGAAAAATCGCCCTACTTTAAAATGAAAAGGTAGATGGCGCAACTGCCACTCCAGTAGATGGACATAAGGGTATATAATCTTAACTAATTTTACTACATGTCCGATCATTTTTGTTTGTTTATACTGAAGATTACACATGTTTGTATTGCAAATACTATATATATAATATATAATTCCCCTAGATTTTTTTCCTAAAAATGAGTTGCGCCATCTATGTCCCTTAAATCCCATTCAAACGCCAGAAATTTCTTTTTCGATGGGTTCAAGAATGAGTTGCGCCATCTATGTCCCTTAAATCGCATTCAAATCTTCGAAAAAATCCATTGCAATACCTTGAACATGAACCACTGAATGTTTTTTAAACTGATTGTGGACAGAATTTTATGGCTAGAATAGAAATCTCATTTTTCAACATGTTTTGACAAAAAATATAGAAAAAAATAAAAATGAATGGGAGTTGCGCCATCTATGTCCCTAAAAATGACCTATTTTTTGCCATCTTCTGCGCTCTGGCAATTTGCCACTTTGCTTGGCCCCGGAAAACGGTCCCCACCAAGTCCCCCGAAAAAGGGCTTTTTCCTGAGTTTCCCAAAGGAAACTTGACACTTGGTGGGGTCCGTTTTCTGGGGCGAACCCAAGTGGAAAATTGGCACTGCGCTGGTTTCCCCCCATTTTTTTCTCAACATCAAGCTGCCTTTTTGGGACATAGATGGCGCAACTCCCACTCATTCGCTAAAATCAGGCTGGGAATGCCCACATAGATGGCGCAACTCCCTCATTCTCCCGACATCCATCAACCAACCTAACCAAAATATGCCACATCGATCAGAGTTATCCCAAGACAGAAGGCAAAACCACCAGGAAAGACATCAGAGTTGTCCCAGGACAGGAGGCAAAACCACCAGGAAAGACATCAGAGTTGTCCTTTTTGGGACATAGATGGCGCAACTTCCGTCATTTTGCCAGCAAAGGTCGCGACGCTTTAAAACCCAATTTTAACAAGTGACCTGAGGAACCGTTTCTTGACGGCCAAAACGGTTCCTCAGGTCACTTGTTAAAATTGGGTTTTAAAGCGTCTCGATCTTTGCTGGCTCAAAACAACTTCCGTCATTTCGCCAAAATCAGGCTGGGAATGCCCACATAGATGGCGCAACTCCGGGAGTTGCGCCATCTATGTCCCAAAAAAGCAGCTTGATGTTGAGAAAAAAATATGGGGAGAAACCAGCGCAGAAGATTGCAAAAAATATGTCATTTTTAGGGACATAGATGGCTCAACTGACCTGTTTTAAAGGGAGTTGAGCCATCTATCCCCCATTTTTTTTTTGACATATATAGATGGCGCAACTCAAGATTCTGAGCCATCTACTCTTAGGGGGGAGTAATAAACACTAATACGTGATATATGTATATATATAGTCAGTGATAATACACACGCAATCATCATCACATCGTTTGTCGTAGGAAGTTGGTAAGCTGCTTGTTGAAGCTGTTTAGTTTCGGATCAACATTCGGAGCCTGCACCGAAGCACCCCCATACACGAAGCTGTGTCTGGCATTGCCAGGCATTGGAAACCTTGCAAACTTGTGGGTCCATATGTTCTTAGTTGCACAGCCAACGGGTTTTCACTATGTTTGGTGCTGCAATGTGTATCGAGGTAGCGTTTGCTTTGGATGGCCCGATCTTATTGACTCAGAATCTGACTGAAGTGGAATCCAGAATGGAAAGCAAGTTTGCCGGCACTGGCTTCCGTCAAAAGAATCATCGGGAACAGTCTTTCCCTGCCGCTGCCAAGCTGCAATGCTGTTGTGAGTTGTGATAGTACATGGCAGCGATTTTCTTTGACCTTCATAGTGGTGCAGCGTGCATGTTTCTACAATATACATTCTACATCATTCTACATCATTCTACACCATTCTACATCATTCTACATCATTCTACATCATTCTACATCATTCTACATCATTCTACATCATTCTACATCATTCTACATCATTCTACATCATTCTACATCATTCTACATCATTCTACATCATTCTACATCATTCTACATCATTCTACATCGTTCTACATCATTCTACATCATTCTACATCATTCTACATCATTCTACATCTACTGAATCTACTGAATCTACTGAATCTACTCTATGTGTCCATTTTTGTTTGGAGGATATTTTGGTCGCTGCACTGGACGTCAGCCTTGAAAGATCAGACGCAGTGAGCAAGATGGATCGTAACCGTTTGCTGCACAAGTTCCTCGAAGAGGCAGGCGTTGAAGTGGCGGCAGTTCCATTGAACCGTCAGTTTGCCCCTCGGCATACCTTGATTTTTTTTCTCATTAAGGTCCCCAAGATAGTCAAGAATCATACAAACATACTATAGAAGCAGCATCAAGTAAGAGCTCTGTAAGGGCAAAGCGGTTGCTTTTGGCTGCTATTCTGTAATTTCTTATGTTTTGAAGCTGTATGTCGAAGGAAAAGGCCAATGTCAAGCTGCGCGGGCTCTTTGCGTCTATGATGTGGCTTCCAATCGTGGAATCTGACAAACTTCCTCGGAACACCGTTGTTGAATGCATCAAAGCCAATGTCTCAAAGGACTTTTTGACGGTGAACCTCTGCGCCTCCAAGGTGGATGATACCCACTTGTCTCTCCTGGCCCGGTGCATGCACAAGAACCTCACTCGAGTTGATTTAAACTTTTGGATGTGCCCGCGCCTAACCGGCAAAGGTGTGGAAGACTTGGCGCGGCAGATGCCATCTAAACTCAAGACCTTGAAGTTAAACTTCAAGCTGCTCGGCCAGAGATTGATCGAAACACCATGCGCTTGTACACAGGCGACAGTAATTATGCACAACATCCGCAAAAACCGGAGATTGTTTTTTGGTGTCGCAGGTGGCTATGATGGCTTTACTTCTAGATCCTGGGATCTGCAAACACGTCATGCCATAGAGTCAACACGGTGTTTTTATCGGTGGTGTGGTGTCTTATATGCTCTGGTGACATCTAGTGGCGTACCCATGTCCACGACCAGGTTAATTCAATATTCTAAACGCAATACATTGAAGACTGTAAATGGTTTTGGGTTTGCGTGCCTTCTTTCTGTAAACCCAGTGTCCTGTTCAAACTGTTGAGCAGCTAGATAGATTTCTCTTGGCTTACAACCCTCACGATATTTTTGCTTCATTGATCTTTTTTATAAGATCTATTCAGCAGGCGAGCATCGAACTTCAGGGTACAATAAACATATTGCCCCGGTTGACTCATGTGCCAAATACAGCCTGTGGGAACCATGGTGTTTGTACTTTACTGCCGTGATATAGTGTAGCTTTGCCTGTCTCTGTATTTTTGGCATACAGCATGAACAAGGGGCCCATGATGTCTCAGAATATCTCAGAATAGTCTCAGCTCAAAGGCGTGCTGTGACATGCAGCCCTGGAGAGAATTAGGGTAGCGTTTTTGCACGCAAGTTTTTGCACATGCCCTGAAACCGTGATGCCAAAGCTATGTTAAAGAGATGGTGATCGCAAGATATTGCAAGCGTAAGGTTCTCTAGTTTTTGAACTGCGCATTGCCGCCAAGTCAGCCACAAGTTTTAAGTTTTAACCATCAATTTGATAGTCTCGCTGCAGTTTGCAAGGCTGTCTGGAGTTGGTCAGGGTGGTGTGGATGCGCTAGCTTCTTTCCCTGAGAGCCTCACCTCTTTGTTCTTGAACTTCAGCTACAACTCGGAAATCCGAAGTCTGGCGAGCATTTGCCAGTCGATCCGGGCCTTAGCTCAAAGCTCGCTGAA